TATTGGTAATCTTAACATACACAAGTTATACTCGCTCGCCCATGTAACATCTTGAGGAAGAGATTGGTTCATGTCGCAATGAGTAGGCTCTGGTGAATGTACTTGTCTTTTCTGCAATGTTTTACTATAGTCCGTTGCAACTCAAGAAGGTAGGGCAAGGGTCAGATGAGCTGGGGAGGAGGAAGCAGACATAACACTAAAGAGAGAAGGTTTCTCCCCCTCTTTTTCAGCATTCCGTCTGCTTCCTCCTCTCTGCCCCGGCTTACCCTCTCCCTACCTTCTTGAGTTGCGACGGACTATAATGCCTATGAAATGACTGTGTGATTAGATATACCATAAAATCCTGATATATCATAAAATCCACTAAAATTTTGGAGATAACCCAGTAAAACTGGGGGATGAGGACTCCTTAGGTCAACAACATGTAAAGATATGTCCTCTGTATTTTTTCGAAATGTTACAAAATTGAGGGGTGGGCACTTATTATGGAATGAGCGGGTTCTCAATATTTTACAGTAGGTTAGTGCATTATCCAGTAAGGACCCAAGATCTGTATTGGCTCAGGTGTAAACAGAGCCGCACAATTGGTGCTGCTGCTCGTATTGGGAAAATGAATACAAACTTTCCGCTGATGGATGGATGGATGTTAATGACTACCCTTTATAACAGGCAGTAGCTTCTACCAACTAGCCTAAAACCAAAACACCCAATTTCCCCCCACCCCTCCCCTTCCCGTCCTAGGGCAGTTTCTTTTGTGGGATATCGCCAGGAGGATGTTTGGGAGATCGGGCAAAAAAAAATATGCACCCCCCCCCCCCCCCCCTTCCCGAGGGGTGGAGTCGGCACTTTTCCTCTGGTCAGACCTTGTCAGCATTATACCAATGCTGGACCCACTGGGAAACGTGGTTGAGACCTTGGGTTGGAGCCATGCGGGCGAGAGTCCCAATTTTCCTATGTTCCACCCTGTTCCACCTGCCCCCAGCTGTGCTAGTTAGTTGTATTTCATTCCGTTTCTTTTAGATAATTTCCACAAATCTTCTAACCTCCTCTTTGTAATTGTACCATATTTTCCGGGCTACAGTCCGCGGACTATACATGTTTAAAAGTTGAAATTTCTGGCTGTGCGGACTATCTACGTGTGCGGGCTATACAGGAATTATGTTTTTCAATATCGTTGATTATGACGAGACGGGACGGATTTTGTGAATAAAAGAGTATGTTATTGATAATTTATGTATATTATGGGCTTTTTTTGTGAGCTAAGAAAACACATATGTCAAGGTGTGCCACGTATGAGAAGAATCTCATGTCGACTAAGCACCAGGTGCGGGCTATGCATGGGTGCAGACTATGCAGCGGGTGCAGACTATCTAAGCAAAAACTTTCATTTTTGACCCCAAATTTGCCTCTGCGGACTATACACCGGGTGCGGACTATAGTCCGGAAAATACGGTAATTCTTTTCTCCTCCGTTCTTTAATCCGCGCCAACAGAACCCAGCAGCCCCTTCAAAGCCGCACACCTACACTGTCGGTGTTGTCAGCATGTGGAGTTGACTTTGTGACTTGTTCATAGCCTTGCAAACCGCAGTAATTGTGTCGGATACAAGATGTGCACGGCGCTGAGGTATATCGAAATAGCGCATGATACTGCCGGACTTTTATCTTCATTTGGAGAGGCAGCGGTACTCAAAGATTGGATTAATAAGTGGGCATCGGGTAATCAGCATGGCGGTGTGGCACTCACCGTCTCTTTCAGTTGTGGTGAGTAGGCTCTGAACTTCACTGCTGTTCAAGGTTTTTCTGCTAGGCCAAATAACTTTAGAAAAATATGCTTCAGTTTGTACATTGAATATCGCTTTGTGGAAGAGTCTCTGGGGTAGTTACATGAAAAATATAACATCACGCAATATTGAATATATTGCATGATGTCCTCATTGGATGGCATCGGAGGCCGCAGTTTAGCGGAATAGTCGGTGAATAATGCAGCCAATTCACTCCACCTTCCAGTGTACCTACTGAAATCCTTAGGTGTGGTACCTTATAGCAATAATTGCAATGGTGTAGGTTGTACTCAATAACAGTGATTGTGCTGGTTAGCAGGTGATAATTAGTCATAATTAGTGTTTCATTTTTTGGGGGTATATTTTTCTACATATTTGGGGGCATTTTTTTCGGGATTAATATTTTTTTCTCGGAATTGTTATGTACCAAGGCCAATTTGATAGAATGACTGCACATCGATAAATTGCTTCTTGAACTAACATTGCCCTTCAAAAAATACATTAGTATCTTTAAGACCAAGTAAAAAGAGTGACTAGGTTGTCATTGTCGCGACCGAGATAAGAGGTGGCAAACAGGGAAAATTTCACACAGATACTACATACCTGGCTCTGTTTGGTACTTTTTCAGCTGACGATGTCACACTGATTTGACCTGCTCGTTAATACGAGCGCTGAGGCATAGCCTCCTCTATACTCAAAGCCTGGCAGTTCGACGACGGAGCCATAGACTGCCCAGTCGCTGATTTGGAGCACGAGGATCTGGTAGCATAGAGCATCAAAGAGCCATTTCTCGGGGAACCTGGACATCATCGCACAGCTTTCGCAGCAGCAAGGACCCAAAACACACTTGTTCGCTTGGAAGAAGTGCGTTTCGGCGTCTCGCCGCAGCGGGGTGCCAGTCACGTGGCTCTCCTCTCATCTGTTGTCTGCCGCTCCACCTTTTCCATTTCGACGGCCGCTTTTCGTGGCAATCTGCCAGGCTTTGTCAGTATATAGGAGGCTATGGCTGAGGTGATGAGGGTATGCGTAAATAGTTAGGCCCTTTTTACTTGGTCTTAAAGATACTAATGTATTTTTTGAAGGGCAATGTTAGACTTGCAGACAAGGTGTTTGTCGGCGCCTTCATCAAACACTTGAAAATCGTCAAATTCATTCACATAATCTTTAATGGTCTGAACTAGAGCCTGTTTGTCACCAAATGGGCTGGGGGGTCCTTCATAGGTGGCATGACTTGCAGACAAGGTGTTTGTCGGCACCTTCATCAAACACTTGGAAATCGTCAAATTCATTCACATAATCTTTAATGGTCTTCAGTTTCCGACCCATGGTGAATGGCGTCCAAATGTGGTCTGAACTAGAGCCTGTTTGTCACCAAATGGGCCGGGGGGTCCTTCAAAATGCCTGAAGAAAACAGGACACTGGTTAACGTAGCAGTTTGGGCGAGTTGGTTGCACATGATTACACACACCACAGCGCACTATAGCAAACAACACTCACACCTTACACACGAAAAATAAAGCAAAATTCAAACAACTTTGTCAAACAACTTTGTTTGTTTGTAAGCAAATAACTTTGTATTCTTCAACCTCTAGCACCACCAAATTTCCCAAATCACGCGCACCGATCTCCTAGATGCCTAAAAATGTTTTCTCTTTTTCTGTCAGGCGAGCATTCTATTTCAATAAGCTTCGATGCCCAAATTTCCAGATTAACATCTGCCGGATATCCCACGTCATTATTAACATCGATTGCTGAGAGCATCTTGAAAACAAAAAATACGAGATCATATGTCACACCAAGAGCCAGAGAAAGATCTACGAGACCTGTCGTGCTTCCATATTTCCACAGGTTCTCCCATGGCATCAAGAAAATCGCCAACAAGTTCAACATCAGTGTCGTCTTTACTGCTCCCAATAAGCTTGGCAACTTGTGTAAACAAGTCAACTCACCTGATTTCCACCGAACAGTATGCTGCACCAAAAACCATCAGAACAGGTTCGTTGAGTGCGCCGATGAAGTGGTGTACTCATTTCCCCTTTCGTGCGGGAAAGTGTACATAGGTCAGACCGGACGATGCCTTAATGGTAGGCTCCGGGAACACAACAACAACAGCTCCAGAGCCAACTCAGGGCATCTAGGCATACACTGCCGGGATTGTGGGTGCGACGTTCACCTGCCATCCTGTACAATTTTAGGTAGGAACAGAAACCAATTAACTCGAGAAATTATCGAAGCAGAACATATCGCCAGGAACTACAACAATTGTTTAAGTACACCATCTTTACACCTGACAGAAAAAGAGAAAACATTTTTAGGCATCTAGGAGATCGGTGCGCGTGATTTGGGAAATTCGGTGGTGCTAGAGGTTGAAGTTATATAAAAAGAGTTGTCAGTCAGCGCGGTTTGTTTGAATTTTGCTTTATTTTTCGTGTGTAAGGTGCGAGTGTTGTTTGCTATAGTGCGCTGTGGTGTGTGGCTCTCCTCTCTTGGTCCCTGGAAGAAAAAAGGACACTGGTGTCCTTTTTTCTTCCAGGGACCAAGAACTTGCGCCCGTGACCCTAATATTTTAAGAATGTCATCCCGGTACCGAAGAAGACGGGCCAAGGGACGGGGTTTCAAGAAAAGAAGGAGGCTCGAGGATATTCAGTATAAATTGTGTTCAAGGTCACAAAAAAAAAAAAAAAAAAGTGCTGCAGATAACATTTTTGTCTCCCAGAACTGGGGATTTCCCTATTTAAGGGCATCTCCAATTCTGGGTTTTTTCCCCGATTTTGAGAAAACTGCTTCGGGGCTATTTATCCGAATTTATCGGTACTTCCCGAAAACAGGGAACCCTTATCACAACGCAACACCCGAGACTGGTGCAGAAAAATGAAGGAACTTTTAAGCTGAAGCTAAAGACAACGGCAGGAGGACGGTTTGGATGTTCTCTTACCGTCGCCTTTTTCTTCGACTTAAAAATTTCTTCATTTTTTTACGTCACTCGAAAGACAAAACAGAAATGCAGCGAGGGTCTTTACTTGCGTCTGCTTACGACAAGAAGGTTTTGAAGACAGTTAAAGTCCGCACAACACGTCGTGGCAGAACGTAATGCTAGGAGTCGTAAGGCAGTCGGGCACACTCAAACGCCGACATCCGAAGCAGACCTCTGTTGCACTACCGCTCATTTGGTGCTCTCTTCTCGCAACCCTTGACATCTTCTCGGGGTTGCAGGTAGCGCACTAGCGGCGTGAGCGCCGGCGGGGCTGCCTTCTCGTGGGATGGAGCCTCCCCTGGCGCCCCAGCGGGCGTCCTTGGGTCTCCAGGGGGTCGTCCCCCTGGCCGGAGTGAGCCCCCTGGTGGCGGTGGCCAGCCCCATAGAGCCCCTCCCCATCGAGCCACAGGCCGCCATCGTCAAGGAGGGCTGGCTCAACAAGCGAGGTGCGTCACTCGAGCGGCGTCGCGACGGAGCACCTTGGTGTGAAAGGTGCACTCAGGTGGACGCTGAGATTGTCTGTTTATGATGATAGCTTGATCTTCAAGCTCTAAGCAATCTGAGAAACCCCAAGTTATGCTCATGGGCAGCTGATTTTCCTATTAAAAGTCTGATCGAAGATCTTGAAACACCCCTCTCTCTGCGCCTTGGAGCAGGCACCAGGGAGCGCCGTCAGACGGCGTTCTCAAGCAATAATTGCTGTGTTACATCTCCTACACGTTTTTGTCAAAATATGATGCACAATGCGCCAATAAGGAGCAATAATAGTAACGTTCGGAACCTCCGCGCAGCATGCAATTAACTATTTTCATTGATAAAATTTTATGGAGGTAGTAAAGACTCAAGGATGTCCCCCCCCCCCCCCCCCCCCCCCAGGGGAAATTGGTGCCCATCCATTTTTACTGCTGCTAGTTTCTTAGGACATCTTGCCATCTAGAACTGGTGACTTTTATTGACTAAAGCCCAACAAAAAATATGCCATAAAAAATCAGCTTCTACATAAAGCACTTGAGTGCCCCTTTAACCCTTTTAAGGTTGTTGCCATATGTCTACGGCGGCAAGTGAACATTTCAAAGTTGCATTTTATTATATTTTATTTCAAAGTTCCCACCTAGACAAGGAAGTGTGCACTCCCCGAGTAGGTGTTTGTTTTGGAAACCATAGTTGTATTTGCACCATGTTTCTCCTTGCTGGGCAATTCAATTTTTCCCTTTAAAAAAATAACCTCAACTTGGGCGCATCATTTTCAAGAAACAACAAAAGATTGCGACCATGCCATTGATTTGTAGTAATTCCAATCCAATCCGTATTTTGTGGTTTTAGTTGATTTTCTTGGTGTGTGTGCATTGCAGTGTAACCAGGTGATTCTTCCTGGACACTAAGTAGATATAATGTACTACTATTATTGTTGTCTTGTTGATCTGAAGACAATATTGTGCAGTTTCATTCCTGCTGAATGGTTGCAAAATACTTGCAAAATACCGGCATGTCTCTTGAGGTGTTTGCTGTAAACATTTGAGGTGCCAACTGGAGGGTAGTGGGAGAGTGCTTATCGGGGGTCTTTGGAGCTTTCTTATCTCCTTCCAGGAGGCTGGGGCATTCTACGCAGTGGTATCTCCGCAGTGGTATCTCCCAATGCATGGTGTATCAACTTCATTTCTTTTGTTAGCGTATTCACTAGCAACATAGCGCTATAGAAAGCTTTTGTGAAGTGGCAGGAGTGGAGTTTTCCTCTCCTCAACTCTAACTATGGAACTATGATATCCGTGTTGTTTACATCAAGACAAAAATTTGAAAGGTTATTGAATGGACACTAAGGACACCACTTTGATGAGCTCACTTTGGTGAGCTAAGGACATGCAGCAGGGTTCTGCAGTATTGCAATTTAGATGTATGGCGGTAGTGTTTCAGAAATATTTCCATATTTATACTTTTGTATTGCAATACAGTTTTTTAATCAATATCTGTATTTTAGTATCGAAATACATTTTTGGTGTATTCTTTGTGTTTGGTACCATCTCGGGCCAATGTATCTCGTTACAATGTTCGAGAAATCAGTGACCCCCAAGCGAAAGCCCAAGAGACTGTTTCCTTTCTTCCTTTGTTCTGCGGAGGGGTAGAAGGTAGGGTAAATGTGACACCGAGGCTTTCTCATCAAGCAGAGCAAGGCTTGTTTTGAACGCCATGGCCCCGACATTGGTGACTCCCTCCTCTATTTTCCAAAGAAAACATTCCGAGATGCTTCATTTGGATTTTTTGTAGCATCAAAACGTTGAAGGCGCAGTGGGTATGAGCTTTACAGCGTTTCTTCCTTTAGGTAACCAAAAAAAAAAACACTATTTCATTCGAAGGCGACATCTTTATGCGAATCCTGAAAAGGTGCTGACATGGGACCCCGTTCACGTCCAAGCTGACAGCGCAGTGGAAGCTACGTGCTCGTTGGACCAATCATACGTCTTTTTTTCGCCACGTGATCACGCGCCTGCCCAGTCGCTGAGGGCAGGGTCAGGTGATGAAATGGGAGACAGCTGATTAGTCCGGCTAGAGCGTAGCTCCAACCGCACTGTCAGCTTAAAGGTAAACGGAGTATAGATAATGCTCAACTTTTGGGGGTATTTCAGCGGATATAAAACAAATTTAGAGGTTCATGTAATATTGCTCCGAAGGCATGTAATATATCTTAAGCAGAACTGCACTGCATTCTGGGTGGAAAGTATTATGATAGTGAAGATTCGCTTAGTTCCCACAGCTTTATTTTAAAGGGACACTGACAGGGTATTTATGCTCGCCGAGGGTTTTAGTTGTACGTGACATGTGGGAGCTCAACTACCCAGAACACAATCTGCGGCTCGAAATTCGGTCCCTTTCCGCCTGAAAACCACCGATCAAGAACTGGCCGGTTCGAGTCTCGCTCACTCTCTTTTCCGCGGTCACGGGCCGTTTTTTAAGGTATCGATGCGACCACCAAATTTAATCAGTCGTGGGTCACTGAAGGCACACACTCAATATTAAAAATAGAAAAAAATATGAAACCCATTTTCTGTGACTTCTAAAAAGCTGCAAATACGTTGATTGAAAAAAAAAAAAAAAAAAAGTTCCACAGACAACCGGAAGCATTCTGTGCGTTCGTCGTTTCGCATATCGTGGGACTCACGGGGACGGCGATGGCAGCGGACGACGGGCGTGGGACCTCTCTTTCAGAACTGTCGTTCGCGGTACCGGCGAATCCTCTCTACCTTTAAAAGAGAAATTCGGGACTGATCAAAAGAAGTGGTATTCATCCCGTACGACACGCCCGACCACCAAGCCGATTTGCACAAAGACGTCGCCGAGCCGTCGCTCTCTTCTCGTGGCTGAAGACATCGCTCGCGCAAACGTCAAGCACGACGTGTCTACTTCGAGTTCAATATGCACGCCTACGATTTCTTTACTAGGTGCGAATGTCACCAATGCGTGGTGCTTCCCGACTTCGACCTGGGAGTGCTTTTGCTAGAGAAAAATCGGCAGCAAACTTTCTAACTTACAGTTTACCGGCTGAAATATTGCTAAGGAAAGAGATCCAAAAGTGAAGAGATGCCCCAGTAGCTCTCAATAAAGAAAAAAAAAAAAGCCCCAGTAGCTCAGTGGGAAAGACGTCCGCTTCACACGCGATAGGACTGAGTTCGATCCCCCGTAAAACCCTTTTTTTTTTCAATCTTTTTTTGATGTTTACATATCTTTTTTTTTTTACAATAATCACTGAAGAAACAAACAAAAAAAAAAAATAACAAACAAATGTTGTGGACGACCCTTTGCTTAATTAAATGGTATGGGATTTCCTTTTTTTGACACCTGTGAACTCAATGTAATCATTTTCCACAAAATGCAAGGAGCATATAAATCAGGTTGCGTCCGCTTTCCGAGGTGCCTGTATATGTTCTACAGGAATTGCAGCCAGCCATTGGTCCCGATCCCATTAATCTTTCGGAAACTCTGTCGCACAATGCCCCTTTTTTTTCGGACGCTGGACATGTGAGCCAGCTCTTCACGCAACATCTTGGGTGTATTCTTTTCGGAGCCGATCATGGAAATTCACCACGGGCACTCACTACTCATCTCCAACTCCTCAATGTACAAAACAACTCATCTAGGAGTACAGAACAACGAGCGGAACAAACATAACTGCAAAAGAATCGCACAGCGAACAGTTCCCGTACGCCGCATGTCGTGTCGTCTGTTACGGAGAGGAGAAAAAAAAAGAGAACGCATGGTCGGGTGTAGCCACGTGACTTCCGCCACTCGCTCTCTTCTCTCCACTTCTCCGACCTCCGTCGGGTTTCGATTTCGGTTTCGAGCAGTTGCGTCTTTTGGCTTTATGAAAAAAATATGCTACTCTGTTGCAAAATATTAATTGGGTAGTCCTCCGACACCATTATAAAGCGCCTGGCAAAAAATGAAAAAAAAAAAATGTTGGGGGGTGTCAGTGTTTCTTTAAAAGGAAAATGGAAATTCTATGCGGAAATAATTTTGAGCTTGAGACTGTCCAGAGTTTAGCTTTAATATTTACCTCACGGTTAGTATGAGTTTTTGTTTGCACTGGAGGACTCATTTTTCCCCTTAGAAGTACAAATCCTGTCAACATAGCCTACCTTTTACCATCTCCTATCAAGGTTTCATATACATTGAAAGCCGAAAAAAAAAAAAAATATTTGCATGGTTTATAACTTTCCCCTCTGTGAAAACAGTTTTCATTCGTCAACAAACACGGGTTCATAACCTGTGTTTGTTGGCACTTGTGGTATGCCTTATCTCGCGCACTAACATGAGTATTTGCCCAAATTGGCAGCGGCTGACCGACGAGCTATTTAAAAAGTTACTTCTCATCCAACATAGTTTGGTGTAGCATCGAAGTCGTATGTTTAGGTTCTTTTGTATTGCTTCCATATGAAAAGATAAAATATGTGGCAAAAAGTTGTTTTGTTTCTGTTTTAGAAATAGAAATTTTTTTGCTGGTGATATACTGGATAGAAAGTGTCATACTAAAGAAAGGATGAAAAGTACATCAGAAAAATGTATGTGAGTATTTCTACCCCTGGAAAATGGATTCCTTTATTTGTGTTTCCAATACAATTAAGGTATCTCCGCCCAACCCTGCATGAGGTATGTTAACATTCTTTTTCTCAGTTTTTTTTTTTGCTAGATTTTGCAATGAAGAGTATTTTTTTCCTTGGCTGGCCCTCTTTGATCTGTCCCAGGTTATGAAATGCAGTAGAGACCATTTCTACAAAGGCCTCTCACCTCTTCAAGCTTCTTCGTATGTACAAACCTTGACACAAAAGATACTTTTTGTCCGTAAACTATGTTTCGTGTTGGAAATTTGTACAAAGCCGTCTTCATGGTGCAGACATAAAAAAAGGGGGTGGGGGGAGTTAGATTTTAACAGAAAAGTCGGTTTCTATTGCAAGAATTTTGCCAACCTTGCAGATGGGCTAATGAAGTTTTTGGCAGGTTTCCATTCTGTCGAGTAAGTGACTTGAGGATTTCGGAGCTCTCTTGTCTGCAAGTCAAAAAACGGTCAGCCTTTCCACTCTCGTGAAGCAAGAAGAACAGCGGAGCTGTGCTCCATACACTGTCTGCTTCTCCTTCGTCGTCGTCTGTTTTTCGCGCTGTTTCCTACAATGAATCCCACCAACGCACCCAACTATCCATTCTTCTATTATAGCTGGAAAGGTTGCCGCCATCTACAAGCGACGGCAGAAACCATACTGGTTCTGTGCTTGCCGCCGTCGCTTATAAATGGCGGTAGCTGTCCAGGTAGGTTTGTGTCGACATACACGGACACGATCCTGGGGAACCTAGCCCTTAAAGGGGTACTGCGCCGATTTCTTCATGGTCCCCGATTTGCTTGAAATTTTGCTAAACTCGCCAAACAACATCGCCAAAATAGTATCCCAAATATTAGGTCAAAATAATTTTTTTTTCACGAAGTTATTGAATTTACAATTTTGGTCCTCACCGTGTTTTTCAAACTGAAAGTCTCTACTGGCAACAATGAAAAAGTGACGTCATTGGAAGTGCAGGGGTTCACTCTTTGGACTGTAGAATTTGTTCCCAACTGATTTGAAGCAGTTTCATGGTGTCAAATGAATGCCTTGGAAGCTCGCTCTAGTCCCCGCGCTCCAGCACGGAACAAATAATTGGCATATTCTATTTTTTAGACTGCTCGCCCGACTGGCAAGCTGAACTTCCACTGACGTCACGGCCCTGAAAAGGGCGGGTATATTTGAATGTCTGTTTTTGCATCATTTTCATTTGCCGATTTCACAATGACTATTATGAATTTCACGATATTAAATAGCATTCCAGAAAGGGTAAAGGCCTGGGAGTCAGAAAATATAGTTAGTTGAGGTAGCTCAAAAATCGGCGGAGTACCCCTTTAACAGGTCTGCTGTAAAAGTGGACCGATTTTGAGCGTCTGCTGTACCATGGCGGTTGTTAGCGATTGCTGCCTCGGTGCATGCCTGTTTGGGGCTCAAGCTGTTGGGTGTGGCCGTACGAAAACAGTTAGTTGTGTGCATACATAGTCTTATTGGGACTCGGTCATCCGCAGAACATCACCGGCATTGTAGAGAATAACTGCGTATTGATTCGCACTCTGAACCTAAGCTTTTCTGGTTGGATATTTTTTGTGCACCGCATTCTACGAAGGAACCAAATTTAATGTCAGACTGAGCTTGAAAAAGTGACTTCTTGTAAACAAATATTCTGAACATCCTTTGGGTGTTACAAAAGAAAGCGTGCAACAAACCGCTTGTCTATGCACACATTGCTCAAAGTGTTTCCCGAAACGATTTCCTTAGCCTCAATTTTTCTCGATTTTCAAAGCACCCCGGTAGAAAAAAAGAGGGACTTAATTTTGGATACCATTCACATTTTGTTGGTCCCGCTGATACTGTAGACTGTGCACCATTGCTCATGCAACACGCAAGGTGCGGCTTAGGATGGCAAACTCTGTCCCATCGAAACACCCCTCGTGTGGGGCCACTCAATCCTGCCATCCGCGGTTTTGCAGGTGAACACATCAAGAACTGGCGCAAGCGCTACTTCGTCCTACGGGATGACGGCACGCTCATCGGCTTCAAGCTGAAGCCAGAGCACGGCTACACAGATCCCCTAAACAACTTCACCGTGAAAGGTGGGCGCCCAACAGCTATTTTTCGTCCTCTAAGGGTTACCCTGAAATGGCAACTGGCTTACGGTTACCGGACTGAAATGTAACTTTGTTATACAGTTGTGTTTCTATGAATACCGGGTGTTTCTGCGAATACTTCGGTAATGTCCTTAATTTGAGGTGGTTCAGAAAACAAAAATTTTTGGGAACAAACTGCCAGCCATGGTAGACTTCAGAGGTTGCAAAAAGAATACTAACTAGCGTGCTAATTATGTAAAGTTTACTAAAAAAACTTTTGAATTGGTGAAAATAAACACGGTTCCAATCAGAAACTCGCTGAGCGTCGTCGAAAACCTTTAAACCGGTCAGTTTTAGGTCAACTTGAAGCACGGAAGCTCATTATATTTATTATTGCGCAGCAGGCGCAAGGTCGGCAATACGAAGACAAGGATGGCATTCTTATCATTCGCGTTTTCTAGTTAGAATGTTTTCCGCAATCCTCCGATGTCGTCCATGGCTGGCAGCTTGTTCCCTAAAAGGTTTTCTTTTTTTCTCGAACACCCGATTTTTAAAGACGTTTGAATGTGCTCGCAGAAATACCTGGTATATCTAGCTGCAGTTATGTCATTGGTCACCGTACTGATGTAATGGAATAATTGTTACGAGGTCACTGACAGACGGAATCTTCGGTGGCTTCGTAACAATTAATAATGCGAAAGCATTAACTCTCCCATGGAGCGAGCCGACGTCGTCAGCTTTGAAGCCACGCCAAACGGCACCTTAAACGCTTTCTCCAAGTGGTGCCAGCTTCCTGTTATAAAACCACGCGAAAAGCCTTGACAACGTAGTTTCCCCGATCCCAAAGGAGCAGAATAAAGCTGATGGATTTCGGCTTCAATCCCACTGGCTGGCGTGCGTCATAGTTTCAAGGAACAAGGCCCCCATTGGCCGCTGCGCGACCGTTTCAACGACTGCCAACCCATGGCGCTGCATGTCCATCAGCGCCGCGGTAACACGAAGCATCCAAGGTCAGAGCAGCAAGGAGAGGGCACACTCTGCCATCGACACAAATACGCTGCACACAAAATAAGGTAGCGGAAGAATGATGTGCATGCTTTCGCATTCACAACTCGTAAGAAGTGCTTACGTGTACCTTAAGCTTTTTGTCACCTGCGGGGAAGGCTGGAAGGTCGATGGGTAGATGGATGAACGGATGAATGAGTGCAGCTAAATCCCTTGAACTGGCTGGTGGCTCGCGCCGCCTGGCTTGTGCCGAGGGCACCTGCGACCCCACCTTTTCTGTCCCTCGGATTCAGAGCAGAAGTTTGAGTTGGTCACGCATTTGCTAATTTCCGTCTGCCATCGTTTCACCAAAAACGAAAATTTTATTTTGCAGGTTTGATTATGTTATTAAATACAAGAGATGCGTGTGTTCCGTGCAAACAACACTCCGTATCTGGTTTGTGCTAGATTTTTATTATTTTTATTACATATATTTTTTTCTCCAAGTATTTCTTTTATTTTATTTTAATATTGTTTTTATTTTATTAATTTAATTTTATATATTTTATTTATTTATTTTTTATTTTTTGTTGTATATTTTGATATATTTCTATTCTTTTCATTCAACAACCTGCTGCTCTCGCCGGCACGTTTGCATTCGGATAAAAATAATTCGGCCCTCCAGACCAGCCACACTAATGGCTCAGTGGCCACGATATCCGACTGCCACCGTACCGATCCAGGTTCAATCCCCGCCGGGGCTCAAACGTTGTACATTAACTCTACACAAAATCTTCACGTGTGGCGTACATGACACTTGCTGCGACGGTTGTTACAATGCTCGTTCGCGACAGTTTTCTCGTAGGAAGCGCCACACAAAATGCATTCGGTGTTTAAGAACATTGGGCAGCATGTTACTACTCTTATCCTCCAATTGCTCCGACGCCGGCAGCGCGACGTCGGCCTGGCGAACTACGAGCTCGCCAGGCCGATCGGTCGCCTCCCCTCATGACCCGACCCCGCTCCCCGCACGTGGGTGTGGGGACCGGGGTCGGGTCATGAGGCCGAACGCAGCACTCAGATTCTAACCGCATCCACACTCATTATCGCTGCCACAACATCAAAAGTTTAATGCACGGCACGGGCTTCGACTATTCTAGGCGGTGTTGGTATAGTGAGCAAAAAGCCCAGTTTGGAAAAATATTGAGAAAAGAAAAATGCAGTTGTTGACGAGTTTCTTTAAAAGGGTCATACGACGCTTGCTTCACCCTCTCGTAGGCTGCCAGCTGATGAAGTCGGACCGGCCCAGGCCCTTTACCTTCATCATCCGAGGGCTCCAGTGGACCACCGTCATCGAGCGCATGTTCAGCGTAGAGTCTGAGGAAGACAGGTGCGATGATTCATACGTGCCGTGCCAACACCCCTTCAACACAACCCCGGGGTTGATTCAACACACCCCCGGAAGTTTTGCGGTGTCACGAGACATAACACCATCAAGGACCTATAGCATCTAAACCAACGTTTCTAAGGCACTCTGGACGGCCCGCAAAAGTCGGTTTCTCAGGGTATCCGAAGGAATGAGCTTACCTCATTCAAAAGAAAAAAAAAATCCTGTTCTGGGCAATCAATGCCACCACTTCACAGACGATGCGCGCGTAGTGACAAGTGCTGCCGACAAATGGCGTATGTCACGTTGATAAGGCGCCGGCCGACTCAGGTTGATAGCAGACAATCTTGCAAAAGAACCCGAATTGGCCGGGGCTCTCTCTACGCGCCATACACCATCTGTCGGCAGCACTTCTTTCTATGCGTGCATTGCCTGCAAAGTGGCAACATAAATTGTACAGAAGGGGTTTTTGTTTTTTGTTCTTTCAAACGAGGTAAGTTCATTCCTTGATTTTTTTACTGTAAACTTCCACCACCTGCTTGCAGCTCTGTAGTAAATTGCAGCAGCATACATTGAAAAACCAATTTTTGCGGGCCAACCAAAGTGCTTTAAAAGCATTAGTTTAGGTGCTGTATAGGTGCCACGCATTTATATTAAATGTTCCATCCTCGTTTATGTGGCCCAAGCAATGTTAATAATGCACCAAAAGTAACATTCCCGAAGGTAACAGAGCGAAAGGCTACAACGATTACGACGTGGAAGTTCAGTTTAATTTGTTACACGACGTTGCAGCGGGTGACGACCCTTTCGTCGGACGATTGTATCGCCGAACGTTTGGCGAATTGTGGAAACAAGCTCCACAAGCTTCTACCGTGGTTCGTAAATGTTCGTGATTTGGAAACTTACTGTCACACTATGGGAGGGCTTTTTCCTGGGGACGAACCGAATTAGCGGGGGTGCATCGTCTCTTCTGTTGCGGGGATTGCGGCGACGTCAGAATGTCGAGCTCTGGTTGGCTCCAGTTGAAGGATAGTGGGTAAACCCCAAGGCAGCTTGCTTCAAGGTCCACTTACCGTATTTGCACGAATATAACGCGACCACGAATATAACGCGAGGGCAGGTTTTGATGCCCTCAAAAAGAAAAAAAAATGATTACTATTATAACGCAAACCGAAGCCGCGTCAATTTCTCGCACTCGGGGGCATAGCAGGTGTGAAAAGTCAATGGAAATAGAAGAAATATCAGTTTATGTTTTGACTGCACTCATCCTCACTGCTCAGGTCCTTCCGTTTACAATCCACTCGAGGACTATGCAGATAAGCAGCAGCACGGCACCTGCTTGTCTGGTAGTTCCTTTTTCTTCCGTGCAAGCTTCTCCGCAGCCCACAATCTAAACAAGGCACGAAACAGAAGCACCAACACACAAACACCAGATCACTCTGGAGCAGAAACTAAACAATGCGCACCAGAAAAAAGACTGGTGAATCCGATACACGATCACACTTCTTGTTCTGGTCCCTCTGCATAAACAAATGCCTCGTGTTGCAGGATTGCGTAAACACGGTTGGTGGTCTTGGCTTGGCTTGTGTTGACTTGGCCCGGCTTGGCTTGGTTTGGCTCGAATTGGCCAGTGCCCGCGTTCCCGCATGGCGCACGCGGGCGCTGAGATTTTGCGGCGTATAAAAATGCTTTTTTCTGTTTTCTATTCGCCCCTTCACGTGGCCCAATAGCTAATAGATTCCCTTCCACGCACCCACTTCTTTTCACACCGGGTATTTTGCATTGAGCCGGAGGGATGGCTTTCACCTCCGGCTTTCTCCAGACTCGCGCGCCTCGTGGCTGAACTCGATTCCGAATATAACGCGAGGTGCGTTTTGGAGCACGTAATTTCGAAAAAAAAAAGTCCCGTTATATTCGTGCAAATACGGTAATGTCTTTCAATCGGAATCAGTCGGAGCTCGGCGTTCTGACATCGCCACAAGAAGCGAACGAACTTAGGCTCCGCATATCGCCTAAAAGACCAGGCCTACGCACATCATCATTGGTGGATCCTCGACCCGACTAGAGCGGCGAGCTCGCCGAACCTCGACACAAGTCGCCGCGTCTCGGCAGACATGTCCGTCTTGGCCAACGTTGCACCCGTCGCGAGTCTCTGCGAGACGTGCCGACGCAAGCCGGGTGGTTCTAAGTGGTGCCGGTTCGACGCCGTCGACACAGAAGGCGAGCGGTAATGCTGGCCAAGCAGACATTGAAGGCGAGAACGAAGGATTGGCAGTCTCTTTCGTCGCCGCTACCTGTAACTGGTGATGCAGTCCCGTCCCGGTAGTGTGGACGCTGTATGGGCCCTACCTGGGAACGTTAACTTTTGAACCGCTCACACAATCGGCGTGATATTTGCAGGTGATGCTTGTAAACATATAGGTAGAAGGAGGGCATGCAATGGTTCAGCTCTGTGAACCAATTTTATGAGGTCGAACAGTCGAACCTGGATATATTGAATTCAAAGGGGATCGTAAAATAGTTCGATATATCAATAATTTGATTTACAAAAATATGTTAACTTCGGCTTAAGCTCCAGTTGAAATATCCGCGTGTCTCTGCTAATACCGAATGCTGCAACAAACGGGACCTCACCATGTGGAGTCTTTAAAAGCCGCTAAATACAGTACAGCTTAGTTGATGAAGATCACAAACACCGCCGCGTTTACGCGACGGTGTTTGCTATCGTTTATGCCTGGCCATGACCTCCACATATCGCCGGCAACAAGACACGCAAATAATTTAAAAAAAATGAAAAAGCGAGTTGCATAAAAAAAAACAGAAAACCTCATCCATAGAATAAAGTTACGCAACAAAAATGACACCTCTCTAAATTCAAGCAGCAAAAAAAAAAAAAAAAAAAAACGAAACAAAAACGGTTTGATTGCTCAACCGTTGTTGTCGACACACTCGACTTGAGAAAAACTTTTTTTTTTTTGCTTACTTTAATTTGGGGCTAAGGAGTCGCGCAGCGGTGTTTGGGGAAAGAGCGCATGCTACCGTTCCAACAGCGGGCACTCCCTGCCTGCCTCCCTGCACGCGCGGATGCCCTTCTCCTTGCATTTGCCATCCTCCCTATTTTTTTACGGTTGCTTTTGGTTGCTTTTTCTTTCTTAGAACTGCTCTTTCGCTGCTGCATATCCCCATGCGCGCGCGTATGCCGGATTGGTGGTCTGCCAGCCCCGCAACGCGAGCTATGTGCTCGCGGCCAGCACAAGCCAACCGTGGGAGAAGGGAAGGGTGTTTCTGCTTGGTTTGCTATATCGAATGTCCCCGCCGCCGTGGGAGTTCGATACAGAAAAACGAGGCTCTTATACTATTATGTGTGATTTTCAAGGGGATGTTTGGACTGTTCGATGTAAGCAATAATTCAAAATATCGGGGTGTGATATAACCGGGCTCGACAGTTTACCCCCAGACCGAAGTAAAGCATAACTTTGCATGGAATCTGCTCAATTAATCTGTCGTTGAGAAATGGTGTTGATAACCACATACTTTTCTGGTGGAATGCATACTGGAATACCTGTTGCTGGTTACTATGAAAAAAAATTTCAGAAAATGTTTATTTTTCAGGTAAAAAAAAATATGGAAAAAAATTTTTCACATTTACCATGTTTTGCAAATTACAATTTTTCATAGTAAAGGAGCATGAAAATGCAAAATCTAAGTTCATAGTAACTGGCTCCATGAAATTTTGGCATATAAGATGCAAATATTAAGTCTCGATAGTTTCATGCTGAAACAATTGTTTTATTAAGGTGGGATTTATGCTAAAAAGTGGATTGGAGAAAAAAGCATTCAAGGTGCTCAGACTTTGAATGTTTTCCTTTAGCATTGGTGAACGGAACATAATTTATAAAAAGATAACTATGCAGTGTAAACAAATGAAACTTTCTGGGAATACTCTCTTGATGTTGGCAGATGCAAATGAGTAATTTTTCGAAATCAACTTTCGTGTCTGAATTTTTTTTTTCGTTAGTGTCTCCCATTTCAAAAGGCGCCTAAAAAAAACGGTTTCTTTTTTTAATATTGTGGGTGGGATTTCCGTGCCAAAAAAACTAATCTTACGCGAAAAAAAAAAAAAAAATATTTAAGAGCAATATTGACGGCGCAAGACGCGATTTAGTCGGTAGTCACCTCCTTTCCACTTGTTTTATCTCTTGGCATTTCGGACACATGGAGGAGAGATAGATGGGCTTCGCCTTCGCGTTGAGGTGGAAAGAGAATTACCATATCGTTGAGCAAATGACCATTCCATGACGTCATGGACTTTGTGCACAAAATTTAAAATAAATCTCTCGCCGTCAATATTCTAAAAAAAGAAAAACAATATGCATAAAGCTTATTTTTTGACAAGTTTGTCCCAACTAGACTGTTTAAAAAAAAAGTATTTTTCTTTTCAGGGTTTTTTTAAGGTAGGACATCCAGGTAGAGAGGCAAGAATTTTAAACCTGTAGTTTAGATTGTGCACAGCTAGTTCGGGAATGAACTGGGTGCATAGATGCATTGTTGTCTCTCTATTATGAACCAAAACTTTCTTGTGATTAGCATCAAAAGCTTTTTTAAAAAAAAAGTTCATAATGTGCTACAAAAACGGGAGCCAGAGTTTTATTGTCGTTAATAGTTCCTTGCCTGTCTTGAGAAAAAAAAATTATAAGACCCCTGCACTAACAGTGGCTTGGTTTCTCTTCGTTATTGTCTATGGTCACGGATGACAAATCCATCTGCAACATCCACTGGCCGTAAGTACACCACTTGTGTGTAAAATGCAACGCTGGTTATTATAAAGCAGTAAAATATATGTCGGGCATCGAGTGGAAGTGGACAGAATGCGTCCTACTAGTAAGAGGCCCCAAGTGTTCATGTAGATGAAAATGTTTACTATCTTGGCTAGAGGCACCCAAATTTTTGCAGCCATTTCACCAGTTTGCAATTCGGTGTCGGTAAGACTGATACATTGACTTGTATGCACAAGCTACCGCTCATTATAAGGGGTATAGCCGCTAACATTTATCCATCCATTCAAGTCCAAATAGACTTTATGTTTAGAAAATCTCCTTTGTTGTGGCAACTTTGGTTGTGGCACACGTCGTGCATGGTGTTACCGGAACTTTTGCGCATGATCCCTTGAAACCACCTTTACAAAGAGATGTCCGGGAAAAAATACTTTGAAGTGCTTATTCCCGGCTATTCGACCGACTTTCAATTTATCAAGACGTCGCGCCTAAAAAAAAGATGGTGCGCAGATTGCAAGAAGTATGTGTACATGTCATTCACGCTATGGCAATGTACTGCGACCGACCAACGTTGTGATGGACGTGGGGCCACTACTTCGGTGCTGTAGTTTCTGGTACCGGCCAATCGATCTTCAAGTGCAGAACATTAAGCGGGAGGGATATAAGTGCGGTGCAGGCAACTTTGTCGTTGTCTGCTTTACACGCCGGAGATGCAGGGAAAGAGAAAATGCAATTGGGTGTAGCCACGTGACTCCAGCCATCTCTTCATGTTCATGTTCCGTTTTTGAGTAGTTGAATGTTTTTGCTTTATTAAAAGTATATGTGACTGTAGCAAATGTCTTCATTTCACTTGCAGGTAATAATTACTAAACATTTAAGGGAAATGTCTGCTTTAGAAGTATAAGGTGGGCCTGTAATGGCAGACATACACTTTTGCTCGTTTCCTCCTTTCCCCTCTCTTCCTTTCACCTTGCCCCAACGCAGTTTAGGAGAGAAGGGCACTTTGAGGACTTTCCTCCTGCAGAAAACCAGAGTCGTATGTAGGTCTTTAGTTGACACATTCCCACCGCTCGAACCAAGGTTAATAGATCAAAGTAAGTCTGTTGTCGAGCTTCCTAAAACACCTGGCATTTCTTTGTGGCACATCCGCTCGATGGAACTTCCTACGCTATCAGCCCAACCCATACAGACAGAAGCAGCAGAATTGGTGGAACGTCGAATGCACATTGCCTTCTTCAGTAAAAAGTGATTCTACATGGTGAACATAATGTTTGCACAAAAAGAGTGTAGTTCAAAAAAGGTTTTTCTTCATGGCCCGTGGGAGCGGTGCCGCTGGTGGTGCTAGGATCAACATCGGCCCTAGCTGCTCATGCGCGGGCAACGGAGAAAGGCCTTTTTGGAACGGAGCTCTTCCACTGAGCTTTTCGTGTGGTAGATCTAAGAATGTTGGCTCAAACGGCTCGCACGAGGCAGGGATTGGACGGGTGTCGCAAGACAGCGCCGCAACAACCGGCTTCGTTCACATGCAGGGAGGACTGGGTGCGGGCCATCCAGCTGGTCTCGGACCAACTCCAAGTGGACGAGGACGTGGAGATGACGGAGCCCCGTGACGAGATGGCGCTGCGCGACAAGTTCAGCGTGTCCACCCGAACCTACGCCAGCGGCAACCGCATCAGCCTGGACAACTTTGAGTTTCTCAAGGTCCTGGGCAAAGGCACATTCGGCAAGGTGGTGCTGTGCCGCGAGAAGGCCACTGGCGCCCTCTACGCCATCAAGATCCTCAAGAAGAAAGTGGTCATTGACAAGGACGAGGTGGCCCACACGTTAACGGAGAACCGGGTCCTACGGAGCACCAAGCACCCGTTCCTCATCTCGCTGCGCTACTCGTTCCAGACGGCAGACCGGCTCTGCTTCGTCATGGAGTATGTCAACGGCGGCGAGCTCTTCTTCCACCTGTCCCGGGAGCGGGTCTTCACCGAGGAGCGGACACGCTTCTACGGCGCTGAGATCCTCCTTGCCCTCGAGTACCTGCACGGCCAGGGCATCATCTACCGCGACCTTAAGCTTGAGAACCTTCTCCTGGACAAGGACGGACACGTCAAGATCGCGGACTTTGGGCTGTGTAAAGAAGACATCGCATTTGGGGCCACCACCAAGACCTTCTGCGGCACACCGGAGTACCTGGCACCCGAAGTGCTTGAGGACACGGACTACGGCCGCGCGGTGGACTGGTGGGGGCTTGGGGTGGTCATGTACGAGATGATGTGCGGCCGGCTGCCCTTCTACAGCCGGGACCACGACGTCCTCTTCGAGCTCATCCTGGTGGAGGAGGTCAAGTTCCCCAAGAGCTTGAGCCCCGAGGCAAGGCATCTGCTCGCGGGGCTGCTGGTGAAGAACCCCAGGCACCGGCTCGGCGGGTCGGTGAACGACGCAGGCGACATCAAGATCCATCCGTTCTTCCGGTCCATCAACTGGGACGAGCTGGCCCAGAAGAAGGTAGGTGCACTCTTATTGTCTTCTGGTACCGACACAGTGGGGTTTACTGTCGTCACGGTACGTCTGCTTGTTTTGGAGTCTGTCTAGTAAAAGAAATGTGGATATAGCGAAGCAAGACTGAAATATGTTTGTAGAATTGGTGCAGGCATTTTAAATGCTGACGCACGGTAGTGAAGACTAATGCCAGGAAGGTCTGCTGCGGAATCATTTTGTGGTAAAGACTCGCGGAGTGTGGATGTAGGAAGGGAATTTTGAAGTATGCAGGTACTTAGTGGTGGGTGTAAACATTTCAGTGACTGATGCACGGTAGTAAAGACAGACGCCGGGGAGTTCTACCGTAAAATATCTATGGTAAAAACTGGTACAGTTAAGTTTTTGATGTAGGGAAGCATAGTTGTATGCATATGATACTAATGATGACATTTGTAGCCTCCACCGTTGTAGCAAAAAACTAGCGACACGAGTCGTTGTGGCAGAATGGGGAACTAGGTCTGGGTATAAAGTAAAATCTGCACAAAGCTGCCAACAGGTAGCACTAACGGTGCCAGTCGCACAAATTTGCACGAGCTGTGGCTGCCGCAGCTTCCCCTCCCCTTTTTCCCTCCCTCCTTCCATTCCCCGTATTCTACGTTCTGGGCGTTCGTTATTCTGACTCTGCTGGTTCAATTGCGATTTTCAAATATAGCTTGTTTGAGCCCGGAGCATTTGAATACAGCTTCTGTGCTCAACAGCTATTTTCAAAAGACGCATGACCCTGCAGAGTTACAGGTACACGCCATTATATCAAACAACAAAGAAATCTGCTAACTTTTTCATTCGTATTTCCCAAAGAGCAATACAGTTTTGCAGGCACTGCCCTTGAGGCATCCACAACTGTATTGTGGAGTTGTTGAAGGGTATTGTGTTGAAGCCTGCTCTCGGAAAGGTGAACTTCTTCAGATAAGTAGGTAACTGCATCATTCTGCAGATATGTAGAGGAAACAAAGCCTATCTTCACTCCATGTACGGTTGCTTCGGCACGTCTAGCGAGACTAATTTTAAAAATTTTCGGGAAGGTTAGAACTTAAATCAAAAAATAAATATGTCTTTATAAAAAATTTAAAAAAAAAATGTTTTTAGTTTTATTTTTTATGCACTATGCAGCTATAACTCACCTGCAGTGAAAGAAAATTCAGGGTGCCAGTCTTCCGCATACTTCCGACCGCCGCATCCCAGATGAGTGTGCCTGCTTCGAGCGAAAACCAAAATGGTGCTTCTTGCAAAACGTTGCACATACTTCTAGCGATCAAACAGCCTCGTAGGAAGCACAGACGGCAAAAAAGATTCTCGAGTTTCGTTGTTTTGATTTCGCCAACTTCCCGTCGGCGCATCTGAGCCGTCTGCGCTTCTTCGCAACGAGAGCAGGGGGCATAGAAAACTGTTGCAGCAGCCACAGGTAGAAATTCAAATGCTGGCACCGCAGATTATGCCACCCTGTTGGAAGAGGGGCTTCCCAATAGACTGTTTCCATAAAGCCCTGCATGCAACAGGCACGCGTTGCACTCTGGGAACTAGTTGACCAGGGAGGAGAGTGGCATGGTTTCGGTTTCGATCGACACGTCGACAAGAGATGCATACAAGTATGCATACATCGAGCTCGCGCCTTTACATTAGTGTTGTTGATCAAGAAGTTTGTTTCGTGCGTCCATAGACGAAATATAACTTTTTTGCAATTACTGTTTTCTTAATACGCCCGAGTACGCGAGGTAAAACTCGGAGGCGCCATTGTTATCACAGACTTGCTTTCAGTGCGTGAGCAATCGAATGAATCAGTCACACACCCGTTTTTAGTGTGCATGTGGTGCTCATAGTTTTTCTACCAATTCACTATTTACCTTGTGACTCACTTTTGTAAGAAGTTTTTTTTTTTCTCCTCTCTCTGCACGTGCTTTCTACGAGCGTGCATAGATGCCTAGTTGTAGTAAACCGTGTTTCCCTGTTCATGCTCTCGAATCACCGCTTTAAAAAGTTTTGCACTACAATTGCGCTTTGGCACCAGTTCGTGTAAGCTTGAGGTACCTGGCGCCCACCTTACTTTGCAGCAAGCCTGTGTTTCCTGTCCTCATCTGTGCGCACAAAACTCGCGTTTGCCTTTTCCATTCTTTTTTTTTTTTTTTTTTATATATTTTATCTTGGTGCGTATCGGCGCTGATAACTTATTAGAACCAGGGTGGACAAAAATAATGATTAAAAAAGAAAAATCTGATTTATGTGATTTATATTAGATTTTTGTGATTTAAATTGCTGATAAGCTGCTCTAACATTTTCTGCTCCTAATCTGCTCCAAACTGTTATGTTGCTAGTTAAGCTCAGAAGAGTGGTTTAAGCAAACTGTTTAATAAGTAGCATACGGGATCAAAGCCGCAGCTATGACCAGTGTCCTCAGTTTTCTTCCCGTCAGTTCCAAACGCAACAGCGCGTGCCACCTTCTGCGAGCGTGCTCACTGGATGTCCTCTTCCTCACATCATAACATGCCCCCCTTCTTCTTTTTTGAAGATGACGCAGTGCGAGTGCGGCACTTGTCAGTCTCTGTATCGTAGCGGCTTCACCACGACGCGTCCACTTCTTGTTGTTTTTTGGTTATCATGTAGTGATGCAAAACTATCGATAAATTGACTATCGATACTATCGATAGTTTTTCCAAAACTATCGATAGTGTCTCAGAACTATCGATAGTTTTTCTATAGTCGACTATCGATAGTACTATCGATAGTTTTTCGATAGTCGACTATCAATAGTGCTATCAATAGTTTTTCAATAGTCGACTATTGATAGTACTATCGATAGTTTTTCTATGGTCGACTATCGATAGTACTATCGATAGTCGACTATCGATAGTTTTTACTATACTGGCGGCTAACGATACTATCGATAGTGCTATCGATAGTCTTGCACCACTATAGTCCGTTACAACTCAAGAAGGTAGGGCGAAGGTAAGAAGGGCCGGGGAGGAGGAAGCAGACGGAACGCTAAAGAGAGAAGGAGGTTTCCCCATCTCTTCTCCAGCGTTCCGTCTGCTTCCTACTCCCCGGCCCGCCTTATCCTCGCCCTACCACTCGCCTCCCCCTTCTCCTTTTTTCGCCCAAACTCCCATCTTCGTCATCACTGAAAGCTGAACCAAAGTTGGGATGGTAAGTGCCTGGGCTAGTTGGTGTCCTGTTTGAAAAAAACTAAAGCGATAAATAGAGAAGAAGGAGCGACACAAACTACTAGTGTCGCGAAACTATCCATAGTAAACTGGCGACAGTACTATTAATAGGTTTACGATAGTCGACTATCGATAGTTTTTTGATAGTCGATTAACGATAGTTTTCCGATAGTCGACTATCGATAGTAGTCGACTATCGATAGTTTTTATTATCGATATTCAGATCTCTGGCGACTATCGATAGTGCTATCGATAGTTTTGCACCACTATAGTCCGTTACAACTCAAGAAGGTAGGGCGAAGGTAAGACGGGCCGGGGAGGAGGAAGCAGACGGAACGCTAAAGAGAGAAGGAGGTTTCCCCATCTCTTCTCCAGCGTTCCGTCTGCTTCGTCCTCCCCGGCCCGCCTTACCCTTGCCCTACCGCTCGCCTCCCCCTTCTCCTCTCCTCGCCCAAACTCCCGTCTTCGTCATCACTGAAAGCTGAACGAAAGTTGGGGTGGTAAGTGCCTGGCCTGATTGGTGTCCCATTTGAAAAAAAATAATAATAAAGCGATAAAAAAAGAAGAGGGAGCGACGCAAACTACTAGTGTCGCAAAACTATCGATAGTAAATCGTCGACAGTACCATCAATAGGTTTACGATAGTCGACTATCGATAGTTTTCTGATATTTGATTAACGACAGTTTCCCGATAGTCGACTATCGATAGTTTTTCTATAATCGACTATCGATAGTACTATCGATAGTTTTCCGATAGTCGACTATCGACAGTTTTTCTATAGTTTTCCGATAGTCGACTATCGATAGCTTTTCGATAGTTGACTATCGGTAGTACTATCGATAGTTTTTCGATAGTCGACTATCGATAGTACTATCGGTAGTCAGATTTCTGGCGGCTATCGATAGTACTATCAATAGTTTTGCACCACTATTATCCTGTTGACGCAGGACCTGATACCTTGTAGATGCGTCGTCGTTTGAGACTGTAGGGACATAGTCTTCAGCGGCTTCGTTTGAAAGTGTAGGGAAATAGTTTTCAGCTGCTGTATTCGTTTCTGCTGTTCCATGTGCTTCTTTGATGTGGTACCGTTTGCGCCTGTAGGTGCGTCCTTCTTGTCCTTGCACCGTGTATGACCTCTCACTCGGGCCTCTGTCTAAAACCACACCTCTGTTCCAGTGTCCCCGTTTTTTAAACCAAATTTTCTGTTTTGGCTGTAGTGGCAATAGTGTCTTTGTTTTTAGGTCACTATGGCGGTGCTGCCTCGCTTGTCGTTGTTGAAGTGTTATTTCAGTTCCTCTGTCGTTATAGATAGGCAGTAGGTTATCTGGCAGAGTTGGTACCAGTGTCCTCAGTTTTCTTCCCATCAAAAGTTTGGCTGGTGATTTTAGTCCATCCATAGGCGTGCTGCGGTAATCCAAAAGGACTGTGAATAGGTCCTTTCCATCTTCCTTCGCCTTTATCAAAGAATGCTTGACTGTCTGCACTGCGCACTCTGCCAGTCCATTGGATCTTGGATTGTACGGACTGGATGGATTATGGAATACATCCCAATCACTCAAGAAGCCTCGGAATTCGGTCGAGTCAAAAGGGGGTCCATTGTCGCATACTACTTCCTCTGGTATGCCAAATCTTGTGAAAGATGCCTTCAGAGCGTTAATAAGACCTCTGGCAGTTGTTGATACATTGTTTGAACATCGATGTACTTACTGTAGTAATCAATTAAGAGAAGATATGAGGTGCCATCTAAGTGAAAGAAGTCCATGGCAATGTTTTGCCAAGGCCTTTCTGGTAGTTGTCGATCAGCCAGTGGT